GCCGTAAAGATTCCTTCACACATATTGCAAATCAAAGGTTCCCCATCACGCTTTGGATACCAAGGATTCCTTTATAGGGATCAGCAGAAGCATCTTCCTCATCCTTTTCCTCCTTCTCATCCTGTTCCTCCTCCTCCCCCTCCCCCTCCCCCTCCTCCTCCTCCTCCTCCTCCTCATCCTCCTCCTCCTCCTCCTCCTCCGCCTCCTCCTGCTCCTGCAATTGCTCCTGCTCCTGCTCCTGTTCCTCCTCCTCCTCCTCCTCCTCCACCTCCTCCTCCTCCGCCTCCTCCGCCTCCTCCTCCTCCTCCTCATCATCATCATCATCATCATCCCTCCCTCATCCTCCTCCTCATCATCATCCTCCTTCACCTCCTCCTCATCATCTCTCGTCCTTCTCCTCCTCCTCTTAGTAGTATTATGGCTAATAGTTGTAGTATCATTAGTTGTGTCAGCAGTGTTATCGTTAGTACCCGTGTCATTCGTATGGTTGTAACGATCATGTTTAATGTGATCAGTAATTATACAACTAGTATGACTGATACTGACATTGAGTTAGTTATCTTGATGTTACCGATTTTACTCTTAGAACTCCAGCTAGTATTAGTAAGACTGGTATCATTAGTAGTATACTTAGCATTAGTAGTTGTATCATTACTACTAGCATTAAAATCACCAATCGTAGTATGCTTATATTCATTGATAGTATTAATAATAGTGTTAGTATGTGTGCTATGATTAGTAGAGTGCGTATTAGTAGTAATACGTTTCGTAATAGTAATACCGAAATGACTACGTGTATTGCTACTACAATGATTCATAGCTTTCTAAGTACTAATCATATCAATTATTAGTAGACCTAAGATTAGTAACATCACTTCTGTATTATTAGTATTGCCATTGGTGGTAAAAGTACCCGCATTATTACGAGTAACATATGTATCCGGATCATCCGTTGCGTTGCTATTACTAGCATTGTAGTATTACTCGTCTTAGTGTTAACATTCGTAATAACTTATACGATTAACAAAAACTATTAGTATCAGTATTCGACCAATTGGTAATAACAGTTTTACTAGCAGTATGTTTACTAGGATTGCTAGTAGTATCGCTATTAGGGCTATTACTACGAATATGATCCATAGTATTCTGCGTAATATTAGTAGTACTACTATTACTATTGTTGGTGTGCATAATATCCTCATCGCTGTTAGTAGTAAAGCGACTCTTAATACCATTACTAGTATACTAAGTACTAGTAGTATGCCGCTTGTCTCATTCTTATTGCATTAGAATTGCGAGAGACTTCTTATTCGTAGTAGCATTCGTCTTCTTGGTACTGTTCTCAGTTTTCTTCTGCTTCGTCTTCGTATTAGTAGTGTTCGTGTGTTTGCACTTCGTCTGCGTAGTTTCTTTGTTCGTCCCCTTCGTATGACTGCATTATGGACAGCCTTCTTCTTTGTATTAGTATTCGAGTCAGTATGTCCTGCTGCTGATTAATACCACGATGTTACTACGATTAGTCTTAATATGCGTAATCTGAAGAAAAAAAAAAGACTATTCTTTGTAAGATTCATATGATGCTGCGGCTTCTTGTCAGCAGTATTCGTCGTCTTCGTCTTCGTCTGTTTCTTCTTCCTCCTCCTCCACCATCTCCTCCTCCTCATCCTCCTCGTGTTCCTACTCCTCTGCTTCCTCCTCCTCCTCATCATCATCATCCTCCTCCTCCTCCTCCTCCCGCCTCCCGCCTCCCGCCTCCCCCTCCGTCTCTTATTTCCCCTCCTCCTCCTGCTCCCCCTCCTCCTCCTCCTTCTCCTTCTCCGCCTCCTCCTCCTCCTCTTCGTCGTCATCATCGTCAACACCACCACCACCACTATCATCATCATCATCAGCATCATCAGCATCATCAGCATCAGCATCATCATCATAATCATCATCAGCAGCAGCAGCATCGTCGCCATCGGTAATATCATCATCAGCATCATCATCCGTCAACCTCATCATCAGCAACATCATCGTCACCACCAGCATCATCAGCATCAGCATCACCATCCGCAGCATCATCATCAACACTATCATCATCAGCAGCATCAGCATCAGCATCATCATCATCACCACCACCACCATCATCATCAAAACCATCAGCATCATCAGCATCATCATCAGCATCAGCATCGTCATTGTCGTCAGCATCATTACCACCACCACAACAACCAGCATAATCATCGTCAGCATGAGCATCATCATCAGGAACATCAGCATCAACATCACCATCAGCATCATCCTCCTCCTCCTCCTCCTCCTCCTCATCATCATCATCATCATCATCAGCATCATCATCATCATCATCATCATCATCATCATCATCATCATCAGCATCATCATCATCATCATCATCATCATCATCATCGGCAGCATCATCATTAGCATCAGCACCAGCATCATCAGCAGCATCATCATCATTAGCAGCAGCAGCCGCAGCAGCCGCAGCAGCAGCAGCGGCACCAGCGTCGCCATCATCATCGTCAGCAGCAGCGGCCTCAGCATCATCATCGGCATCATGATCTGCAAAAAACATGGTCACCAGCAGCAGCAGCATCAGCATCAGCAAAATCATCACCATCATCATCAGCATCATCATCAAAACCATCAGCATCATCAGCATCATCATCAGCATCAGCATCGTCATTGTCGTCAGCATCATTACCACCACCACAACAACCAGCATAATCATCATCATCAGCATCATCATCATCATCATCATCATCATCATCAGCATCACCATCACCATCACCATCACCATCATCATCATCATCATCATCATCATCCTCATCATCATCATCATCATCATCATCATCATCATCAGCATCAGCATCAGCATCATCATCATCATCATCATCATCATCATCAGCATCATCGGCAGCATCATCATGAGCATCAGCATCAGCATCATCATCAGCAGCAGCATCGCAGCAGCCGCAGCAGCAGCAGCGGCACCAGCATCGCCATCATCATCGTCAGCAGCAGCGGCCTCAGCATCATCATCGGCATCATGATCTGCAAAAAACATGGTCACCAGCAGCAGCAGCATCAGCATCAGCAAAATCATCACCATCATCATCAGCATCATCATCAAAACCATCAGCATCATCAGCATCATCATCAGCATCAGCATCGTCATTGTCGTCAGCATCATTACCACCACCACAACAACCAGCATAATCATCATCATCAGCATCATCATCATCATCATCATCATCATCATCATCACCATCACCATCACCATCATCCATCATCATCATCATCATCATCCTCATCATCATCATCATCATCATCATCATCATCATCAGCATCAGCATCAGCATCATCATCATCATCATCAGCATCATCGGCAGCATCATCATGAGCATCAGCATCAGCATCATCATCAGCAGCAGCATCGCAGCAGCCGCAGCAGCAGCAGCGGCACCAGCATCGCCATCATCATCGTCAGCAGCAGCGGCCTCAGCATCATCATCGGCATCATGATCTGCAAAAAACATGGTCACCAGCAGCAGCAGCATCAGCATCAGCAAAATCATCACCATCATCATCAGCATCATCATCATCAGCATGATCATCATCATCATCATCATCATCATCATCATCATCATCGTCATACTCATCATCAGCATCATCATCATCGCCATCATCATCATCAGCATCATGATCAGCATCATCGTCGTCATCGCAGTCGTCGTCAGCACCGTAAGCATCGTCATCAAAATCGTCATCATCATCAACAGAATAAGCATTGTTTCAAAAAACACGTATAGAAACATTAATATTAATAACGGTGATGAGTATAATCATCATCATCAGCATCAGCATCATCATCATCCGTATCATCATCAGCATCATCATCATCATCATAATCATCGTCATCATCAGCTCTTTCACCGGTGCCATCCTCGTCATCGTCGTCATCGTCATCATCATCGTGGTCATCATCACCACCACCACCATCATCACCATCATTAGCACCATCATCACAGTCATCAACAGCATCAGCAAAATCCTCAGCAGCATCATCGTCAACATCATCAGCATCTTCGTCATCGACATCACCATGAGCAGAATCATCATCATCACCAACACCATCATCATCCTCATCAGCATCATCATCATCATAACCATCAGCATCATCAGCATCGTTATCATACTCTTCATCATCATCACCATCGTCATCAGCAGCATCCTCATAATCATCAGTATCATGATGACCCAGCGTTGGTCGTCATCATCATCATCATAATCATCATCAGCAGCATCTGGCTCATCATCAGCAGCATCATCGTCACCATCATCGACATCGTCGTCGACATCCTCATCATGATGATCATCATCATCAGCATCATCATCATCGTCATCACGGGCGTCATCATCATCGTCATCGTCATCATCGCCATCAGCATCGTCATGATCATCATCATCATCGTCGTCGTCGTCGTCATGACGGGAGTCATCATCATCATCATCATCATCATCATCATCATCATCAGCATCATCATCATCAGCGTCGTCACCACCGTCATCAGCATCGTCACTATCATCACAATCGGTATGAGCATCGTCAGTATCAGCATCATCCTCATCATCATCACAATCATCATCAGCATCAGCCATCGTTAATCGTCAGTGCAATCATCATCATCGTCGTCTTCATCATCATCATCACCATCACCATTACCATCGCCACCATCATCATCATCATCATATCATCATCATCATCATCATCATCATCATCATCATCATCATCATCATCATCATCATCGTCAGCATCATCATCATAAGCGTCATCATCATCATCATCATCACCACCACCACCATCGTCATCACCATCATCATCATCCTCATTCTTAACCCCCATCTGCCAAATGCCTCCCTCTTCTCCTCCCCCTTCGGCTGCTCCGCCCCCTGCCCCCTCCTCCGTGCCGCTCCCGCGGAAGAGAGGGGACGGCCGCCGCATCAGTGACGACATCCATCGCGGGGCAACTGCGGGCGAGGCGGGGAGGGATTAGAGGCCTTCCAAACGGGGTCAGAGTAGATGGGGTCGGAGGTTCGCGCTGCATCGCCGATGCATCGTCGATGCATCGCCGATACACGCTAGCTGTCGATAAAATCGGCTGCAAATCGAGCCGCATCGGCGATGCGGCATGATCCGACGACCCCATCTACTCGGACCCCGAATGGGAGGCCTGGAGAGACAGTGCAAGATGATCTGCACCATGCCAACAGCCGAGAGGATGCACCGAAGGGCACGAGAGGAGAAGAACGGAACGCGGGCGGGAAGGAGGAGGAGGAGGAGGACGAAGGAAGGCAGAGCAATGGGAGGGAGAGCGATGTGATTATGTCAAGGCGCGGCCCCGGAGGTCCCGACCCTGGGGTCCGTTTTTCGGCCCCAATCCATGTTCGATGGCCTCGGGCCCGAACACGGGCCCCAGAAGCCGACAGCTGTGATGAAAAACGACGGGCCTTGCAACACAAAACGCCAAAAGCTGGCGAGCAACCCAATCCGTTGTAAACATGTGGCGGGTATTGGAAGAACCGATCAGTGCACGTGAAGATATTGAGGGATATGCAATACCCCTGAAAGCTTCGCCGAGAAACGGGAAACTACACTCAAAGCCGCCACAGGGCCACAAACCGTGTGTTGGGTGCGCCAGGATGGACCCAAATACGCATACGAACCCTACCACTGGACCCTTCGGTGGAGCTCCTTATGGGGCCACGAAACGTGTGAAGCGTGCGCCAGACTGGACCCGAGTACGCATGCGAACCCTGGCACTGGGACCTTCGGAGGAGCTCCCTGCGGGGCCACGGAACATGTGAGGGGTGTGCCACTGTGGACCCGAGTGCGCATGCGAAACCCTGCCACTGGAGCCTCCGGTGGAGCTCCCTCGGGGGGCCACGAAACGTGCGAAGGGTGCGCCAGGATGGACCCGAGTACGCATGCGAACCCTGGCTCTGGGGCCTTCGCTGGAGCTCCATATGGGGCCACGAAACGTGTGAGCGGTACCGACTTGGAACCGAGTACACATGCGAATCCTGACACTGGGGCCTTCGGTGGACCTGTGGCGCCACGAAACGTTTGAGGGAGCGCCAAAATGGACCCGAGTACGCATGCAAACCCTGCCACTGCGGCCTTCGGTGGCGCTTCCTATCGGGCCACGAAACGTGTGAGGGGTGCGCCGAAATTGTGGTAGTGGGTGGACAGAGGGAAGAGGAGAATGAGAAAGTGTATAGAGGAGTGCGACAGAAGAGGGAAGGACGGGGAAGAGGTCAGATGGAATGGAGCGCGGCGCTGTGAATTCAGAACGAGGACCCAACACACAGGACGTAGGAAAAACAGCTGCGATGTGGGTGTCCGGCTGCACGGAGGAAGCTCAGCGGCGAGCCAGGGGGGGGCTGCTGGGCCGAAGGGGTGGCCTTCCCGAGATGGCCCCACTCACACACCTCACCACCTCTCCCTGCGCGGGGTGGGTTGCACGGTGTTCGTTCGAGGGAGACACACGAGGCACGCGAGAGTAACGAGCAGAGGAGAAGGAGGAAGCTGAGGAGGAAGACAGAATGATGGCTGCGTCGTTTTGAAGCTGGCAGCGATAGCGACAGGATGAGGAAGCCACGAAGGAGGCGGGGGAGGCGGAGGAGCGAGAGGGAGGGGAAGAAGGAGGAGAGCTAAGAGAAGGAGAAGGAGAAGCAAGAGAGGGAGGAGGAGGAGGAGGAGGAGGAGGAGGAGGAGGAGGAGGAGCAGGAGGAGGGGGAGGAGGCGTGAACTTGGAACCCCGCTGGCCGCCGCCAGCGGGGTCCGCTCACGCTCCGCGAGGCGAGGAGGAGGATCCCAGCCGCCCCGAGGAACGGCCCAGAGCTCGGCCGCAGAGAGAGGGAAGGACCGACCCGAGGGATGGAGGCCGAGGAGGAAGCAGGCGGGGGAAGGTCCTCGAGCCCCACCCCGTCTCCCATCCCCTCCCCACCTCCCCCCTGCCTCCCCCGTAGCCGTAAACATCATGTCCCTGACAGCAGCATGATGATGCTTGCTCCACTGCGTGTGCCGCACTTCGCTAACATCCAGCGCGCCTGGCTGAATCTAAGAGCAGCTGAAAGTCACTCAACACCTCGAAAAGATTCATGAAACCATGACTGCTCAAAACATCCCCTTGGCCCATCACGCTGGCACAAGCATCAAGGGAAAGCCGCCATGAGCACTGGGGCAGGACAATGGGCACTTGACAGCACTCTTGAGCCTACAACACATGCCAAATGATGGACGCACGGTGTCACGCAGGGGAGCGAGGGAGACCCGGAGGCCACCCTTGTAGCAGCATTGATGACCTGATAATGTTACCCCCTGACGTAGCAACACCAAGCGTTGCAAGCGTGATGGCGATGACGCAGGCATACACGGGACGCAGGAGGCCATCCTTGTATTGTGCGCGCCCCTTGGAGTCGCACGTCCGTCCTGAGCATATAGTACGAGCATACTATAACATATCGTTACCCGGACGGTATAGCCAGAAAGCGCCCAACACCGAACACATGCTATAGGATCTCTGAGCGCGCGCGCCACCCCTGGGAGGGGGGGGCCTGCGCACACACAGTGGAAGTATGTTTGGCTGATGCGAGAAGCGCGAATGACGGTGTGGCTCGATGACGGGCGGTGGCGGGAGATGACTTCAGCAATGGCGTTGGCGGCTCGGAAGGCGTGTCGGCAAATCTGCCTCATCCCGCGCGCGCGCTCCTGCGCGCGGGGGGAAGGCAGACAAGGATGAGAACGAGCATTGGGGCGAGGTGAGGGAGGAGGAGGACGACGACGACGAGCCTTGTCGTCGTCAATTTCGTCTTCCTCCTCCTACTCCTCTTCCTGCTCCTCCTCCTCCCCGCCGTCCTCTTCGTCCCTCCATAAACGTCATATGCACGTTCTGGGACCTTCCTGGAGCCACTCGCTCCACTCAGGTGTCGATGATGCGTCGAACTGCCGTCGAATCAAATGGAAGTTGCGTCGAACTTAGACCGAACTAGAGTCGAACTAGGAGTCGAACTAGAGTCGAACAGATCCATTCGGAGGGAGCAGGGAGGTCCACAAAACGGACGCCATTTCTGGAGCTGTCGGCACAGGGGCCGGTGGCAACTCCAGTCCGCGCGCTGGCAGCCAGGGCCGCAATAGGTCACGGCGCGGCAGCCCGAGCACACCGCCTGGCCGCCCGCCTCTGCCCTCCTCCACCCACCTCATCATCGTCATCATCATCATCATCCTCCTCCTCCTCCTCCTCCTCCTCCTCCTCCTCATCATCATCATCATCATCATCATCATCATCCTCATCATCATCATCTTCCTCATCCTCATCCTCATCCTCATCCTCATCCTCATCCTCATCATCATCATCATCATCATCATCATCAACAACAGCAACAACAACAACAACAACATCATCATCATCATCATCATCATCAACGTCGTCATCATCATCAGCAGCATCATCAGCATCATCATCATCATCGTCATCATCACCATTGCAATCAAAATCATAATATTCATCATCAGCATCATCATCACCACCGTCACCACCATCATCATAATCATTATCATCATCATCATCATCATCACCATCACCATCACCATCACCACCACCACCATCATCATCACCATCATCTTTACCATCAGCATCATCATCCTCATCCTCATCCTCATCATCGTCGTCATCAGCATCCTCACCATCATCATCATCACCACCATCACCATCACCATCACCATCATCATCATCATCATCAGCATCATCAGTATCACAATCAGCACCATCATCATCATCATCATCATCATCGTCATCATCACCAGAACCATCATCATCATCCACGTCATCATCATCACCAGCACAATTATCATCATCATCAGCATCAGCATCATCATCATCAGCATCATCATCATCACCATCGCCACCATAAGCATCATCATCATCATCACAGTCACCAGCATCATCATCACCATCATCATCTTCATCGTCATCGCCGTCCTCATCATCATCATCATCATCATCATCATCATCATCATCATCATCATCATCATCATTATCCTCATCATCACCACCCCAACCACCACCATCATCATCATAATCATCTGCAACAGTATCATCATCACCAGCATCACCATCGGCATCACCATCATCATCACCATCACCATCATCATACTCCTCTTCATCATCATCATCACCATCAGCATCACAATCATCATCACCATCATCACCATTATCATCGTCATAATCCTCGTCGTCATCATCACCACCATCAGCATCATAAAGGTCATCGTCACCATCATCATCATCATCATCATCATCAGCAGCATCAGCATCAGCATCGTCATCATAGTCCTCGCGATAAACATCGCCATGAGCATCATCATCACCACCATCACCATCAGCATTATCATCAGAATCACCATCATCATCACCATCAGCATCGTCATCGTCATCGTCAGCATCATCATCGTCACCGTCATCATCACCATCACCATCATCAGATTCATCATCCTCACCACCATCATTATCGTAATCATCACCATCATCATCATCATCAATGTCGTCACCATCATCATCTTTATCATCACTATTATCATCATCGTCGTTGTCATCATCACCATCACCACCGTCATCATTATCATCACCATCAGCATCATCAATATCATCACCATCCACATAACCATCACCCCCATCACCATCATCACCATGAGCAGCATCATCATCACCATCATCATCATCATCATCATCATCATCACAATCACCATCGCCATTACCATCAGCATCATCAGCATCATGATTCATCACCAGGGAGCGTTGTTCTTGCTGGGAGCGACGCCAATTCAAAAAAGAGTCGGGCGCCAGTCCAGCGTAAAACGGAAGGAAATATCGGGCGGGAGCGCTGGTTTTGTCGGGGCGGCGGTTTTCGGCGGCCAGGAGGAGTACCGCCTTGAGTAAGAACTGAGGAAGCATCGAGCGGGAGCCGTGGTTTAGTCGGGACGGAGGTTGTCGGCGGCGAGGAACTGCACCGTCTTCAGGAAAAAGGGAGGAAGCCTCGAGCGGGAGCGTTGTTCTTGCTGGAAGCAGCACCAATTCAAAAGAGAGTCGGGCGCCAGTCCAGCGTAAAACGGAAGGAAATATCAAGCGGGAGCGCTGGCTTCGTCGGGGCGGCGGTTTTCGGCGGCGAGGAGGAGCACCGCCTTAGAGTAAAAAAGGGAGGAAGCCTCGAGCGGGAGTATTATTTTGCTGGGGGCGGCGCCGATGAGAGAAAGACTAGCGCGCAATTCCAAGGTAAAACTGGAGGAAGTCTCGAGCGGAAGCGCTGATTTTGTTAGGACGGCGGTTTTCGGCGGCGAGCAAGAACACCAGCCCTGCGGAAAAAGGGAGGAAGCCTCGAGCGGGAGCGTTGTTGTTGTTGTTTGGGGGGCGGTTTTGGCGGTCCCCCGAACCACTCGAGCGTAAGCCTCATTTTCAATGAAAATGTAGCCGGCGCCGAGGCGAGAGCGCCAGGGCGCCTGTAAGGGGTCCAACAGTAATTAATTGCTTACTACTTATCTTTCAACAACAACAACAACAACAACAACAACAACAACAACAACAACAACAACAACAACAACAATCACTTTACCCGAACGCTCAGTGTTCTCACCAGTGCCAGGGTTTTCATGCGACGCCAGCCAATACCCCCACTTTGTGGGGGGGCAGTGCAAGCTCTACCAAATATCCACACGACTCTTCGCCACCACCCACACCCAGCTTCCCGCCCTATGACGTTCGGACACTTCACTTCGTGGCCTGCGGACGACCGTGGCTACTACACTGGCGTGGAGTACACACCCACAGAAGTTGTTAGGACAGCGCGCGCGGGTAGAAATTTTGAAAAGTCGTGCAGGTGTTTTTCGAGGACCTACGGTGCTATTCGTGTGATTTTATGATGCGCGGTGCTAAAATTCTTAAGAAGCCCAATGGTTTTTGGAGATTTCGGCGTGCGCGCGCGAAGAAAAAACGAATGTGTCCCGCATGGTATTATTTGACAGGGATGATGGCCCTGGCAGGTGCGCAACCGTTGTCGCAGAAGTTCGAAAAAGTTGCTCGCAAAAGCCCGTTTGACAGAAATGTTTAAAAAGTGTTGGGTTTTCCTACGAATCCGCAAGAGCGCGCGGGATGAGATTTTGACATTTTTTTGTTGAAAAACCATTGGTTTTTTGATGTTTTTATGTTAAAATCGTTCCGAACACTAAGCTTTTGGAAGGATTTCGTCTTGCGCGCGCGAATGTCCACTTTACCTTATTTTTTGCAAGGGATTCTTGAAATTTGATTATATTAGAACAAGAAATGTCATTTTATAGTGTTTTTTGCAAGGGAAAGCGGGGGGGAACAAAACAACCGGATCTTGATCACATCGAATTACCTGAGGCTTCCTCACGAAAATGATGAAAATGTAGCTGCGGCCTAGGCGGCGCAGGGGGGCCGTGCACCAGGGGCCCCAACAATAATTATTCTTTAGAATTAATAATGTTCAACAACAATAACTTTAAGACTGTTCGCCCTTATATGCTCGAGTGTCCAACAGCGCGTGTTTCCCAAACACTTGATACCCGCCCTCTTCGTCTTCGATCGAACCCCTGTTGGGTGGTATACCTTCCTTCCCTGCAGGCCGGGCCCCGGCAAGCGGCGGGGCGGCCGCGGACCGTCGGCCTGGCCAGCGGCAGCGCTGATCGGCGGGGCGGCCGCGGACCGTCGACCCAACCCCAAGAGGGACGGACAGGGGACCGACCACGACGACGACGACGACGACGACGACGACGACGACGACGACGACGACGACGAGCAAAAGCGAGAGCGAGAGAGAACGACAGCAGGGCCACGAAGGGCACGAAGTAGGCCACGAAGGGCGACAGCGGGGACACGAAGAGAATGCGTATGGGGCCACGAAGAGCGCGAACGAGCGGGGGCCACGAAGTGCAGATAATGCGGGGCCACAGAAGGCAACTATGGGGCCACTGAGGGTAGCAACTGGGCCACGTAGGACAGTGAGGGGGACACAAATGGCGACAGCGGGGCCACGAAGGGCATGCACATGGGGCCACAACGGGCGCGACTCCTGGGTGCCTGGGTGTCGGGAGCGCGGCGCTGGGGCAAATTGCAGGAAATTCCAACGCAAGGCCATTCTTCAGTAAGTTGCAAGCAAGTCTCCAGCGAGAGCGCGACTCCAGAGCGCCGGGAGAGCGATTCCTGAATAAATTGTAAGGAAGTCCCAAACGAGAGCGCGATTCCTGAATAACATGCGAGAAAGTCTCGCGCGGGAGCGGGGGTCCTGGCTAAATTGTAAGGAAGTCTCTGGCGGGAGCCGTTGTTGTTGTAACCCGGGGGCAAGGGGCCCAGTTTGAGCATCAAGACTTTCCCTGTCAACCAAAC